AGTGTGTCTTAAGGGGATTGTTAAATAACAATTTCTAGTAACCTCTTCAAAAAATACATTCTTATTCTATATTATAATATCTATTATCACTGGTGTCATTCTATTTAGGTCTGCCATTTTTCTTTTTGCCTACTGCCTGTTTTCTTTTCACTCCTCCCTTACTACTTTATTCTTTTATAAAACCTTGGTTTTGCCTTGAGGTTTTGGTGAACTTATATCATGAGAACCCCACTGTGATATCCCCTTTCTCAAGACAGACTCTTACTGTGCAGCCCAGATTGCTTTTAGACTTGAGGTCTATCTGCAGCTTCCCCAGTGTGGGATTACATGTGAGCCACCATGTTCTACCTTTTTTCCCCATCATCCTTTTTCTTCTTTTCCTACACTACATCTTTTATTTTGTTAAGTAAATGTTCTGTAATTCGGCAAGTGCTCACTCCTGAGCCATATTCCTAGCCCCAGGTCCTTTATAAAAAGTATTTCCAGTTTTATTTTGAGAATATGTCTCTCTTTTGTTTTGTTTTGTTTTTAAGACAAGGTTTCCCTATATAGCACTGGCTGTTCTGGAGCTAGCAATGTAGACCAGGCTGGCCTTGAACTCACAGAGATTTGCCTACCTCTGCCTGGGGTTAAAGGCATGTACCATCATGCCAGGCTTGAGAATGTCTTTAGTTGGATATGGTGGCTCACACGTGTAATCACAGCACTCCAAAGGTTGAGGAAGAAGAATTGCTACCTTGAACGACATAGCTTCAGGTGACCTGAGCTCTAGAGTGAGACTGTCTGAAAAAAATATGTAAATGGTACGTCTGTCTTCTAAAGTATGTATAGAAGAGAGTCCAATCCTTTAGTTGGTACTTGTATTTGTGACTATGTGTGTGTACTTGTTTGTGTCTGCATACATTTTAGTGTGTGTGCACATGTCTACATATACATGTGGAGGCCGGAAGTGGGGGCTGAACTCAGGGCCTCTGCATTAGCAACAAGTGCTCTTAACTGCTGAGATGTCTCTCCAGCCCCAGATACCAGTTTTAAATAGTAAGTTAGCCTGCATGATAATTTATAGTTGTTTTAGAGAGATGGGACCATGTCAATCACAGGGAAGGTAATTACTATGGGAGATGACTTGTGACAAAGCCCAAGTGCAAATTAATTTACCAAAACTAACCAAGAGGATGGCCTGATTTGGGCATTTGGGTGTTTTAAAATAGCAAGTTTAAACAATCTTATTGATCTTTTCCTATTTTCTTAGGCTTGATGGGAGGAGGGTTGAGTGTCAGCAAAAGAGAAAAGTGAGCTGGTCAGGAGGCCTGGACTCCACTCCCACCCTCTCACTTTGCAGCTCTCCCTTTTGTCCTGTGACTGTGAGACAGGACTAACAACTCACCCTTCAACTGTTATAACTGAAGAAAGAAAACTCTCTGAAAGCCTTCAGTCACTATAAGATATATATATATATAATGACTGACATCGGAAATTGAGGTTACAACATGGAAAAAAACCCACTGTTCTATTTTTCCTCCCTTTGGTGTACTTTTCTAGGTGAATGTGTCTCTTAGGAGCATTTGTCTGGGACTGTCCGAGATAAGCCTGGGCTGCACAGACAGGCCGTGCTCCCCAAAGGCCTCAGAGCAGCTCAGCCTGCGTTGTGTCCAGAGTATCAAGCATGAAGTACAGTTATTCTACAAAAATGATAAGTAAATAGAAGAAGTCTCAAGGATCCTATTTTCAAAATAAATGTACGAAAATCAAGGAAAACTAAATTCATATTCCGAGTTACACCATTTAGTTTCACTCATCTCCCGATACTTTGAAAATATCTTAAATGTTGATTTGGATTGTTTGGACATTTAAAGTATATAAAGTCACTTTTAGAAATTGGAATTACAGAGTTTTTTTTTTTAAATGGTAGAATGAAATATACCAAACCAAAGGTATTTGAATTTTTTTTTTTAAAGATTTATTTATTTATTATATATGAATACACTGTAGCTGTCTTCAGACACACCAGAAGAGGGCATCAGATCTCATTACAGATGGTTGTGAGCCACCATGTGGTTGCTGGGATTTGAACTCAGGACCTCTGGAAGTGCAGTCAGTGCTCTTAACCACTGAGCCATCTCTCCAGCCCGGTATTTGAATTTTTTAAAAAAATTTTTTATTGGATATTTTATTTACATTTCAGATGTTATCCCTTTACCCCATTTCCCCCGTATTTGAATTTTTGAGACTGAATTGAAAAGGAGAAGCAGGAAGCTGCCCACGATGACGATGGCACAGGATTCTGGGGACCCGATGAGGGGCACGGTCCCTCAGCAGCTAGCTGTCAGCCTCAAGAGAACGGATGGTGACTATGAGGGGCTTGTCAGAACTGCAGAAGATGCTGAAAACCTGTGGGCAGCAAGTGTCCAGTGTTCAGCTCCGAGCCGAGGAGATGCATACTAGAAAATGGATATGACTGTATGTCCCTCCTACTCGTTCTGCGTAGAGAAGAATATCAGTGTTCTAGCTGTCATCTTGCGTCAACGTAATTACACGTATGCTCACAAAAGGCAGATTTACTTCACAGTACATATCATAGAATTAGTATTTCAAAACACAAAAATTTTCTTTGTATATAACCGTTCAGTGATTCATAATATTTTTTTCCTTTCAAAATGCTTACATTTTAAAAATTATTATTCAGAAAATGAAAATAATCCTAGGGTTGCAAATCAGCTTTCAAAAAAAACTATATTTATAAACGGTCAACATGGGGGTTGTGGATGGAGCTAAGCTGTCAAGTATCATTGCCTAGCCTGAAGCCCTGGGTTTGAACCTGCAATAAATCAAGCATGGACACAGTCAAGACTTATTCTTGGCTACAGAGAGAATTAGAGGCCAGCTTGGGCTGCATAAAATTCTAATTCTAATTTGGGTTTTAATAAAGTTTTTACTCACTTCCTCCTCTTTCAGCCTTCCCTCCATTGTTACAGTTAGTTGAGCATTTATTTTCTGCCCTACTTCAGTTTATGGCCCACGGAATCCTTCTTTAATTAATCCAGCTTGTTTTGAGTGGGTAAGGTAAGGACAAAGCTGGTTCTGGATAGTTCATGTGCAAAGGGCAGCCAATATGCCACACAGCCAGAAGATGGCGGTGGTGTCCACACAAGCGGGCCATTGTTTCTCTGCATTGTTCAAAGGATTTTAAGCTCTTCTGTATGTTCAAAAGCCACACAGAATCCGGACTTTTAAAAAAGCAAACTTTGGGAATGTTGGTATATTAATATATTATTATATATTATTAAAGTGATCCTAGTATATATTAGTCTCCCACACAAGGACTGAGAAAGGTCTCAGTCTCAGAGCTTTGGCACATAAATACTGCATTAATTTTCTTTTACATTTTTTGTGTGTATTGGGTATGTGCACATACATACAGAGTCCAAAGACCAACTACATGGAGTGGGTTCTCTCCTTCAACTATATGGGCTGCAGCTTGGCAGCAAATTCCTTTCACCTGCTGAGCCATCTCACTGGCCCTAAATACTGCATTTTCACATTTGAGATTACGAACCCATAATTAAGTAATTTTACTTGAAGAGCTTGTTTTATATCTCTTGTATTGAAAACAAAAGGAGTCCACGGAGCTTTCTCCTCAATAGCCTCTCTATGTCTTACCCTTATAATGACTTTCTACTATAAAATTAACTGTAGTGTGCAGGTTCCCACAGTTCACATAAAATGGTACCTAATATGATTTTCTTACTTGGTTAATGCTACAATTCTAGGAAGTTCGAAAACTAGCCTGGAGAAATGTTACCAATTAAAACCATCTACGAGTAGATGGACATTTTAAAGAATTATCAGCTTTATCGCACACTTGAGTAGGTTCAGTGAGGCCCCTAGAGTTCTTTTGTTCTACAGATAATTGTCCTTAGTTTTGTCTCTGACATCAATTCCTTCTCGAATGGCAGACTGGGTTAACTAGACTAGAATGAGTGTGATTATTGGTGATCACCTCAGGGGAGGTTGAATCTGAAAGGCCCTGAGCCTTGTGCGCCACACCTCAGGCCCTGCTCTAAGCTTTCTGAGAATTCAGCAAGGCAAGCTCAAGACCACTGTCCTCACTGAATGAGAGAGTGGAGAGAGTACCAACACTCAAGAAACACTCAAGAAATAGCCTGACACGGTGGTAGCGAGTTCAAGGCCAGTTACCCAGGGAGCCTGTTTCAAAATAAATGAATGGAAAAATATATCTAAGAAATTAACTTTGCAGGTGTGCAGGGATAGATAGTATGTGTCTAGTGTCCAGGAGAAACTGAGATGAGTCTCGAAGGGCCCAGGGGACCTGAGCTCGCAGGCCAAGACTGGAAGCGCTGGGCAGCCACAGGCGAGGGCGATTCAGACGACCGTTTCTTTTTAAAATCGCCCCAGATTGAATTCAAGTTCTTAAATAGACTATGGGCGAGCCGAACCGATGACAGAGACTTCGCGGCCAGACGGCGGGCGGGCGGCAGTCCACGCGCATTGGTCCTGCAGAACCCACAGCTCCCGCACCAGCCTTGTGGTCGCCCCTCGCCGCCTGTCACTCACTTCGGGGGCGACGCCCCCAGGCCGTGCTCCGCCGCGCGTCACTCACACGGGGGTGTGTGTGTGACGCCCCCAGCCCCTGCTCGGCCGCGCGTCACTCAGATGGGGGGTGACGACCCCAAGCCACGCTCGGCCGCGCGTCATTCGCATCGGGGGTGACGCCCCCAGCCCCTGCTCGGCCCGGCAGCCCCCAAGACGGGCGGGGCGGGGCGAGGCGAGACGGGGCGGGGCGAGCGGACGCCATCGCCGCGCTACCGGCCGGCTGCGTGCTGGTCAGCGCTCAGCGCCGCGGCGTCCCCGCCTAGTCGGCGCGCGGTCGGCCTGGGCGGCGGCAGCCCGCGATGCGGAGGCGGCGGCTCGCAGAGACGATGCTCCGGCGCTGAAGAGACGCGGCAGCCGAGCGCCGGCGGCGCAGCGACGTGGGCCGCATGGCGCAGCCCTCAAGCCCCGGCGGCGAGGGGCCGCAGCTCGGCGCGGAAGGGGGCCCGCGCGACGCGCTGAGCCTGGAGGAGATCCTGCGGCTCTACAACCAGCCCATCAACGAGGAGCAGGCGTGGGCCGTGTGCTTCCAGTGCTGCGGCTCCCTGCGCGCCGCCGCCCGCCGCCAGCCCCACCGCCGCGTGCGCTCGGCCGCGCAGATCCGCGTCTGGAAGGACGGCGCCGTCACCCTGGCGCCCGCCGCCGGCGAGGAGGGAGAGCCGCCCCCCGCCTCCGGTGAGGTCGCGGCCCGACGCCCCCCGGCCCAGTGGGAAGCTGGCGGGCGGCCCCGGGAGGGCGGGCGGGGCTGCGGGACCTGAGCCCCGGGGAAGCTGTGTGCGCGTCCGCCGGCCTCGGCTGTTTACCGGGGGGCTGAGCTGGGGGATGAGGGCTCCGGAGAGGCTCGCGTGAGGTCCTGTCAGGAAGATGACATCTTTGGGAAAATGAGCTGACTGGGTCTTCATAGCATTTTGAATTCGTCGGTAGTCCTTGGAAATGCCAGGGAAACCACTGAGCCCCGAGAATTCTGCTATTTGGGAGAGAAATAAAAGAAATGATGAGTCTGGGTACCGAGTGTGAAAATTCGCTGTGGTGAAAAGTACAGGTTTATTATAAGAAGTAAACAGGCTATTTAGATGAAATCGCTTTTAGTTCGTCCGCGTACATTCTACATGACTTGTCACCTAAACAGTGACACATAACCAGGAGCTTACTCACATGCTTTATTGATGGGAAGACTGGTAATAGGTTTCCCCTATCCGGTTTTATCTAATTCATTCTTTGAGAAGCAAGTCTATTAAAAACATAGCAAAACAATCCACCTTCACCTTTAGAAAGTTGATGGAAGTGTCAAAATGCTTAAGGTGGAAAATGTAATTAGAATAGTCTATAAAACGACATTTCGTGAAAATCCTTTTCTAAATTGAGGGAAACATTCAGTATTACCAGTCCTACTAGAATATTCTCCCGTTTTTTAGCTCAAGTAAACATAGTTTTATTAATTGATTTAAAGCCAGCCATTGTGATGTATTAATAACCTCAATGTTGCACTATATCAGAATACCGTGTGACGTTTTGATACACGTGTACCTTGAATGATATTTAAAGCTGACTTTTTGATGATTCTTTTAAATCTCTTTTTTCCTCCTTCAAACAAACATTTTTTATTTGATCTGTTGCTTGATTTTAGACTTGGCCTTAGTAGATTACAGTTTCAGTTGTAATTTATTTATAAGATGCCATGAAAAGATAATTTTTTTCCAAACAACGAGGCTTTGTCTTGGTCCCGAACTGTTTCCAGAGGAAAGAGTGTGTGCGGCCTCGCTTCAGAAGAGTCTTTGGTTCTATTGAAAGAACAGGCCTGGTTGTATGGTGTGTCAAGAACTGTTGAGGAACTTGATCCCAGAAGTGCTTTGACTGTCAAAGACCGATAGATAGATTCTTTGGGGTGATTCTTGTAACTAACTGTTGTTGGAACGTTGAAATGAATGCATCATTAGTATGAGTGTAATATATTTTGCAGAGAAATAGTAAATACATGATTCCCAGAAACTAATGAATTTTTAAAAACTTATTTTTAAATTTCTGTATATCGTTAATTGTGTGCATGGTGTGGGGGGGGCACTTGCCACAGGGCATGTGCCAGTCAGAGGACAATGTTGTGGTACCTGTTCTCTTACTTTAAATGGGTTCTGGGGGTCAGACTTGGGTTGCCATGTCTGTGAGGCAAGCCTTTTTACTCACTGAGCCATCTCACCAGGCCTTTATTTTACTTTTATTTTTATATTTTTTGGGGGACTAGGTCTCCTGTACTCCAGCTGAAGCTGTTCTTGAATTCCTGGTTCTTCTGCCTTCCCTCCCAAATGCTAGGATCATTGGCATGGACCTCCACACCCTACATCTTCTTTCTCCTATTCCCACTCACGATCTGTGGTGCCAGATACCAGGAAAACCTAATCAGAGTAGTTGATACAGTCTGAAACATCTCAGGGCTTTTTGGTTAAAGTATTTAGGGATTAGGGCAGGAGAAAGAATAGAATAAAAACACATTGTATAGAAAAGTTTTTAATAAAAGTATTTAGGGTTGTTCATTTTCAAATGTTGTTATATTAGTTTATTTCCTCCTGGGATTAATAGTAGGTCCTTGGCTGTAGAAAACACATTATTTTTAAACATTGAATTTTGAATTTTGTTTAAGACAGGGTCTTCTATAGCCTGGGTGTGTCCCAAACATTTCATGAAGTAGAAGCTGGCCTTGAACTCTTTGATCTTGTAAACAACTTCCCATGTCCAAGTGCTGGGATTGATTGAAGATGTATGCGATCAAGCCTAGCTTTAAATAATGTTTTTTAAAAGTGATTAGTAGCCCGGCAGTGGTGGCGCACGCCTTTAGTACCAGCACTTGGGAGACAGAGGCAGGCAGATTTCTGAGTTCGAGGCCAGCCTGGTCTACCAAGTGAGTTCCAGGACAGCCAGGGCTACACAGAGAAACCCTGTCTTGAAAAACCAAAAAAAAAAAAAGTGGTTAGTAATACTTAGGATTGTCTGCATAGATTCTCAAGAAAGAAAAAAGTGATTAGAAGGTAGTTTAATACTTGGTACTAGGTACATTTCTGTAAGTTTTTTGTTTTATGTGCGTGGGTTTAGAAATAAAACAGGTTTATTGAGTATAGTCCAAGGGGATCAGGCTGGGCAATACTAAAATATTGCTTTTTGTTTGTTTTTTGATACATGATCTCACTATGTTGCCCTGGGTGGCCTTGAAATGACAGAGCTTTGTCTGCCTCTGCTGGAATCAGAGTTGTGAGCCACTGAACCCCACTTCAGGACCTCACTTTGTAGTCCAGGCTGGTGACCTGTAACTCACCGTGGATAGTACAGGCTGATCTCTGACTTGTGACACTCCTACTCCCCAGGCCCAGCTCAGTTATTTTCTAAGTAGAGTTTTAGAAAAGTCCAGTGACATGTCCAAACAGTAGTAAGCTAACTCAAACCCAGGTCTAGGCTTTGCAGCATTGTGAAGTGACAGTGATTTTGTTTGATTCCTTCAGAGCTGAATGACTTCAAGAAAGTTCCCCAGTCTCCAGCGTCCAGCATGCCGTGGAGAATCAGTGTTTTTTCCTTTTTTCTCTTTAAATTTGTGCAGTGTAAGGGGTAATATGTAAAATATGTAAAATAAGCAGATTCATTCTTCCCGAAGTCTGTGGTCCTCTCATGCCACCAGAGTGTCTTTTGCCGATTTTAACTATTCACTAAAATTGGGACAAATGTCTAGGGCAGGTGTTTCTTAATTCTAACACAGTTGACATTTTGACCCAGATAATTCTATTGTGGGCTGGGGCTGTCATGAGTACCACTTCCCTCTTTGCAGTGTCTCAGGACTCTTGTCACTGCTGCCAAGAACCTCTTCTCTCCAGTCTGCTAAGAAAAGACATTTATTTATTTATTTATTTATTTATTTATTTATTTATAGATAGGATCTCTATGTAGCCATGGCTGTCCTGAAACTCACTATGTAGACCAAACTGGCCTTGAATTCACAAAGATCCTCCTGCCTCTGTCTCCCAAGTGCTGTGATTAAAGGCATGTGCCATCGTGCTTGGCGGTAAAAGATCTTTAGATGCTAGGCAATCTTTGAACTGGGGACTGGAGAAATCCATCAGTGCTTTAGAGTACTTGTTCCTGCAGAGGACCTCGGTTCCATTCCCAGCACCCACATAGGGACTTACAGCCACCCAAAACTCCAGTCCCAGGGGATCTGATACCCTCTTCTGACCTCCAGGGCCAACACATACACACACACACACACACACACACACACACCAGCAAAACATTCATATGCATAAAATATGTGAATTTAAGAAAAATCTTCAAACATTGTCAACTACACCGTGCAAAGTAATCCTGGATGAGTAATTGTGGCAGTTAGTTAATCCTTTACCTGCTGCTGTTGAGTTGAATGAAGTGAACAACACCATTGGCCTTGCCCGACAGTATTAACTTTATTGCTGTCACCAGAGAAAGCACCACACATGCCTTTCTGTTTTAATTTGGGACTGAGTATGGTAGAGTGGTCCCTGTCCTTCTGACTTGACTTGTGGTGTGACCATGCTCGTTATCAAAACAGAAGAAAGGGCCATGTAAGCAACAACAGAAAACAATCCTATTTCAAGCATTCCAGTAAACTCTTTGTGTATTCACATCACTGGGATATAGGCAGTTGCTTTGTATGAGATGGTTAAAAAGACTAAAGATTAAAGGTTTCTTTTTTCCCCTCATTTGCCTATATAGTTGCTGTATGTATGTATGTATGTATGTATGTATGTATGTATGTATGTATGTTCCTATGTGTGGAAACAATGTCCAGTAAACAGATTTTTTTTTTTTGTGCTGAGTTGGTCTAAAAATAAAAGAGAGTTGCAACTGGTGAGATTTAAGTATAGCCTAGCTCTGTATGAGGTTAAATGTCTGTTTATCTGAATTGTAACAAAGAAACATTCATAGTGTCATATTAGAGATGAGAAGCCTGCATGGCTCCATCAGCTTTTCAGATTTCAATACCCATTGGGCAGCAGTCATTTATTTCAACTTGGGTTCCAAAATTTTGGTACACCTTTAGTTTTAGATGTATAAGGAACATTTAAAAAATTATGGCCCCATCTTGATCTTAAATAACCTGAAGGGTGGTAGCAAACTAGATGTTCCTGGGAGGAACAATGAAGGCTTGTGTGCATATTAATGAGGGGTCCCTGGAGGGTGGTTTTGGGTATGGGGAACATTCAGGCTTTGTTTGGGCTGTGAAAAGAGGATGTGACCCGGCTTCTCAGCAAGGCTCATGCTGATGGAGGAGAGTGGTCTTGGAACACAGCCTGCTTGGTTCTAAAGAGAAACCGTGTTCGTGGAAAAGGTGGACTCAGTAAAAACAGACTTCAGGATATTTTAGTCCACACTTGGCTGTGTTCCTTAAGTGTTTGTACCCTAATCACTATCAGCTATATATATGTAAGAGTATATGTATATGAGTCCAGCGTAGGTGTCTGGGAGACAGAGGTGGAATTACAGACTATCAAAATACATCATTGCTTACAAGAATAAGTAAGAATCATCTTCGTTGCATATGTCAGACTAGTTCAGTTTAACAAACATCTTGACTTTATCTTATATGCAAGCAGTATTCTGGTTTCCAGTGCAGTTTAAACAAATAGTTGTAAGAAGGAAAAAATGTAAACATAGTGGTG